GGGCGAAATCGGACAATAACCACGCCTACCTCCCATATAACGGTAATTTTAAAAAATACGAAAACTGCGATATTTTAGTAACTACTGAAGATAATTCACTCAAAATTGATACTTACAATGAGTCTCAGACGGAAAACATGAATATTATAAATTTTTGGAAAATGGGCGTAGCCACGCCCACTTATGGTTACATGTGTATATCTTGGTAACCGCTGCACCAATTTCTTCCAAACTTGGCACAGTTGTTGGCCTTAGTACAGCATACTAAATGGCTGAAAAGTTTAAAAATCGGACAATAACCACGCCTACCTCCCATATAACGGTAATTTTCAGAAAAACGAAAACTGCGATCTTTTAGTAACTGCTGAAGATAATTTGCTTAAAATTGATACTTGCAATGAGTTTTAGACGAAAAATAAGAATATTACAAAATTTTGGCAAATGGGCGTAGCCACGCCCACTTATGGTTACATGTGTATATCTTGGTAACCGCTACACCAATTTCTTCCAAACTTGGCGCAGTTGTTGGTCCTGGTACAGCATACCAAACGGCCGAAAATTTCTAAAATCGGACAATAATTACGCCCACATCCCATATAACGGTAATTTCGAGAAATGCAAAATCTTCGATAAATCAGTAAATATTGAAGCTAATTTATTCAAAATTGATGGTTGCAACAATTCTTTACCAAGAAATACGTTTATGACAAAATTTTGGAAAATGGGCGTAGCACCGCCCACTTGTGATCACATATATGTATGTATCTCGCTAACCGTTCTAGCAATTTGTACCAAGCTCGGTATGGTTATTGTGCTTGCGACATAAAAGCAAACCGTTGAAAATTGTTGAAATCGGACTAAAATTGAGGCCGCTTTTCATATAACGGTAAATTTCAGAAATGCTTGAAATTTCAATATTTCGAAATTTAAGGACGCTAATTTACTTAAAATGTATACACCCCGGCTTATCATGTAGCGGTAGCTTTCGGAAAGGAGGAAAACATATATTTAATACTTGCGCCGGGTATTTAATGTTCGGCTCCGCCCGAACTTAGACTTTCTTACTTGTTTATAAAAATATGGTTTTTCCATATAAAAAAATTATCGAATGAGCGACACCTTCAGCAGAAACAATAAATGCAACTTTGCGGAATTTTCTTTAACTGTAGGTTGAGAAGTGATAAATTATGGAAAAAATGGTGCTGCTATTTTGAAAAAAAAAAAATTATTAAAAATTATTTAAATATCCCCATCTCAAAAGATTTCCCCATATGATTTGGTCTAGAATACAAAGTTATCATCCCTCTCTTGCTTGGAATGAAATTTCATATAAAAATATAGGGCTTTAAATATTTAAAGAATTTTAATAAGAAGTTCCTTAAACAAAAACGCATTTCGGAAGAGATGTCCGTTTCTGTGTAGTATCGGCAACTTTTCATAGAGATTTATTCCTCTGCAAAAATCGTTGGACCATGTGGTCCATTTGTGCCATATTCGAGTACTTACAAAATGCTCCTATGTAATGCGGTTATTGTTACCTGATCATTGCTCGTCTATTAACGATCGTAACCCCTAAAAGTTGTTTACTGGGCTGTGTTGCCAAGTGGTAGGCACTCCTTGGAGTAATCCCTTGGGGCAGTTGTGTGCTACTCTGATGTAATGCAAAGCTGAAATATGTGGTCCTGCCCTAGCTCTTCTCAATATTAATCGGAACACAATTCTTATATACATTTGGTTCATTTTGGTGTACTCTTTGACCCCAAAGGAAGCGCTCTTTACATGCGTGCATGGAGTAGTCGCGATTTTTTCAGGGTCGTAGTGAGATACATACTTATGCAAGTATATGTACTTATAAGTAAGTATGCATACATACTACATGTGCGAACTAGGGATGTTGCGAATGTGGAATTTTAGACATCCGCAGATGCGAATGCGGATGTCAAGTATTTTTAAGAAATAATTTAGGGGAGTAAATTAGGTCATTCAGGTAAATAAAAATGGAAAATTTAGTAATTTTTAATTATGTTTTTTTTTAGTACTGTAATTTAAAAATTGGAACGTTGTATTAAATAAAAAGTAATGTTGCTGCCTTTTAGGGTTACAACCTGTTTCTTAAAGGGTCGTAAATCAAACCTGCGCCACTTAATAACTTCTCGCTCGAGGCGACAAACTTGAAAAACTTGAAACTTGACAAACTTGTAAATTCATTTGATTGACGTTGAGTTGAGAGGACTTTCAGTTATATTTTTTTTTTTTTTATTGCGGTGCAATAATTTCTTTTTGAGAATTGCATCGAGACTGCAAATGTCGGATGTAAGCTCCTGGCTTTCATCTTCACAATCTAGCATCAAGGCATGATCGGTTTTTAAACGCCGTTGGTTTCCAAAGAATTCTTCATTTTCATTCTTTTGGTTGTTTCAGAATTTGTAGAACCTGTAATTAATTTTTAATCCTTTCTTCTGTGATTGGTTTGAAAAACGTGTGCTCATAGCCAGGGCCGTCGAGAGAAAACTCGGGCCTCGGACTGAAAAATCAAAGGCTCGTATACATAAATTGTATTAATTCAAAAGCATGTGATCACCTCGTAACCCCCTCTCCCGACGAGCCTGCTTATAGCGAGGTTCTAAACACTTAAGTGGATATGGCAAATAAATAGTTATTTTGCAGGAATGAAAAAGCCAAAATTAACAAAAAAATTTTTATTGCATAAAACTATGTGGGGACTTATGATTCGATGCATGATAATCAATCAAAAAGTGAATTTTGGATTTTTAGTTAGTTGCGGCTTTTTGTATTTCAGCGACGATGTAAGTTATAACGTTATATTGCATGCCAAGTCCCAATAGATATTCAATTCTCCATGAATTTCAGAATCGCTAAAGCTCCGCGTTGATTATTGCGAATGCGACAGCGAATCCGAATACGAATGTTAAAATTAATGCGGAAGCTCCGCGGTTGCGAATGCAAATGCGAATATTCGCAACAACCCTGGGGCGAACATACACACATACATTAAAGCCGGCCTTTATGACTAACCATTTTACGTAGACATATTAGGGCTGTTCAGGATGTTGTGGAAATGGTCTGGAATTTGCAGTTGGAATTGCATTTGCAAAGTTTATGCTGGCTGCCATGGCAACCGTGTGCATTTTATTGTTGTGATTTTACAAATGCAATGAATATGCAAATGCACAAGACGCTGAACGGCCCTACTGTATTTGACTTTTTACTCTGGTACAAATTTTACTACGACAATGCACGTATGGCATGTGTATACAGTATGTATAATACAGTGGTGATCAAAATTCGCGTCATATATAACGGGGATGGAGTCTGTAAGCGCCAATTGGTCCGAAATTGGGTAAAAAAATACTTGTAATGGGTATATGTGAAGAGGACGAATATTGAAAGGATGTTTTCCCCACTTTAGCCTTTTAATAATCCAAGCATTTCAGCAAAATAATTTGCTTAAAAATCGTGGAATGGGAATAACTCGGTTACTGTTCCAATTATATATATTAAAAAGTGAGAGAAAATATATTTTCGCTATCATCTCAGAAATGAAAACTTTCAAGAAATCACGGAGTTATTCGGGTTTTCAAAAATAGAAATGCTTTGTTTATTCGTCGGCGCCCTTAAAGCGCCTAATTTCCTATTACCTAAGGTTTTGTATTCAAATAAATATAAAGAATGTGTATTCATGAAAAATTTTATTACCAAATATACTTTCAAGAAGTTTTAGTTCAAGCATAATTACGTGTTGATCTTAAATATTTTAGAAAAAGCCAAACAATAAATACCAACGTACGCCCCGAGCCGGAGTCTTCCGTTACCAAACGGTGTTTCGAACACGGCATCTCCGTATCGTACGACTGATGAAATCGCTCAAGAACTACTTTTTATTAGAAACAGTCAGGCGGCCGGACATGCAGACATGGCTTAATCGGCTTCTCAGTGCGTTCTGAGCAGTTCTACATATTTCGACTGTTAAAAACCCTTATCCAAATAAAGTTATGTGTAATACCCTTGTTCAAAAGTGCGTTCAGGTATAAATGGAATTACATAGGTTACAGTGCCATACATATTGCTTGAAAGTTACTCCATAAATTAAATAAAAATTTTGATTCAAAGTGTCGCTTCCATGCAGTCTCTGTGCAGTGTGCTAAGGGCCGGTTGTTGAATGTCTGGTTAACACAAATCGGAGGTAGTAGCGCCGGTTAAATACAACGACTGCTTTATCGATCACAGGTTATGTGCATGATGTCGAAATCGTCGATAATGATGTTTAACTTAAAGGTAGTGATAACCAGACATTGAACAACCGGCCTTAAGAATCTTATAAACGCGATCATTTATAAACGTCCGATTTGTATGCTCGCCACTGTGATTGAGACGTGACTGCATTTCCTACTGCCGAATGACAGGCGTGTTGCTGCATACTGTGTATGTGCGAATATAAACGAGCTACTTAAGTTTGTAAAATTATAATTCTCGCTTGTAAACAAAACGCACCGTGCCTTTGTTGCCAGAACCTGTTGGATATACACTCTCTCTCGCTCAAGGGATATTTATAATTTTTCCACTTGACTTCTTTCAGATGTATTTTTATTTTGCATGAAAACTAAAATTCGGTTATCATTAAATGCTTAGCAATTTGTTTTTGCTTTGCTTTTTTGTATAACTTCTTTTTTTTTTGCAATTGAGGCTAATAAAATTTTCCCTAACAAATTAGTACTTACATACATATGTACATATATATGTATTTACATACGTATATACTGAAAACAACTACATATGTATGTGATTACAACACTAACACTAAAAACTGATAACAAAGTCAACTGTAAAGCTTTTTTGGTAATGAAAACTGAATAATGACCGCGCTTTATCAATGCGAAATATGCGATAATCGGCACGCGTGGAAAGGGGGCGGTATCGCCCATTGTGGTCCGGACTGTTGAGCGAGCGCGATTGGCACTTAAAGCATTTAGTTGCAGTCGAGCAGCGTAGCTGTTAAGTTGTTGTTTTGTTGTCGTAAGCATAATTTTGGAAACTTAAAAAAGTGCGTGCAAATTAGTAGACACGCGGGAAAGTTACACCTGCATAGCTTCTAGTGAATATCCACATATGTACATTAGGATGGCCCTTAGTTATATGGAGAAAAATAAAAGTGTTTGGCATCTCGGTCTCACCCCCTAGAAAAGTGTGAATAGCCTAAATACTTAACTATATATACAAAGTTTTAGGTCAATCACAAAAGATTTATAGGTGACTCAAAGCGCTCAAAGTTTCCCATTTATTTTATAAGGCGAAAAAACTATTTTTCGTAGAAATTGTATAGAATCCTTGAAAAGCAATATTTTTCAATCGGCAAGCTCTGTTTCTCTTCAAGAGACTTCCACAAAAAATAACAAATTGTTTATTTAAAAGTTTATTAATATTTATTAACAATTTTTTATGGTTCACCCATGGTTAAAATCGTTAATATTAAACAAATTTTAAATAAACAATTGGGTATTTTTTCCGGAAGTCCACTGAAGAGAAAAAGAGTTTGCCGATTGAAAAATATTGCTTTTTAAGGATTCTATAAAATTTCTATGAAAAATGTTTTTTTCTCTATATAAACTACATGGGAAACTTTGACCGCTTTGAGCCACCACTAAATCTTTTTTGATTGACCTAAAATTTTGTATAGTTTATTCTTTAGGCTATTCACACATTTCTAGGTGGTGAGACCGAGAATCCAAGCTCTTTTCGAAATAAGCGCCACCCTAATGTACATAGGTATTTATAGGCGGACATACGTGGGATGTATTTGCGACTTGAAGAAGCTAAAGTTAGTCTGGGATAACAATTAGCGCACACTAACTATTTTGAAATAGCGCTGAATGGATAACGACAAAACAATGTAAATGTTTAGTTAAAGTTTATACTAACTTCCTGGTTTTCTAATTGTATTACATGTTGTTGTTGAGCAACGCGCGACGTTACTTGTTTAATGTGCCGCGTACATCTAACCATATACTAAATAATGTATTTCAAAGTTAAAAAAAAAATAAAAATAACACAATATAAAAAATGAAATCAATGAAACAATAAACATACTGATAAGAGAATATAGCAAGGCGGGCGTGAATAAATATATTAAATAAAGAACTTGAGTTGCTACGTAAACGTCGGAGCAGCAGTATCTGCAAATATTTAGTT